TGAGGGGGGTGAGAGGGAGGGGGACTTGGGGGCGGGACAAAGCCTCTGATTGGATAACCTTTCACCTAGAACTGTCAAATAGAGTTTGATGAAAGCTGGTATCTATACTGTGTCAGGTAATAGCACTTTGTACAGATGTGTATGCTATGAGGGGATTTACCAAAGATAGCAATACAAATCAAACTACTTCAACATATCATTTCTGTCTGTATGTTCACTGAGAAAATAAATAACCAAAGATTGTGAGTGTGATCAGGAGAACTTGCTCCCAAAAGCATGCGAGGTTATGCAAACACACACTATTGAAGTCCGTGTGTTCCCAGTTACTCTTACAGGACAAATAGGGATTAGCATTAGGTTTCCCTTTAAGGAATTATGAATGTAAATAATTAGAACATTGAAGAAAAAAATAGTTTCACTGGTGGGAGTGATGAGAATATTCCGATTTGTCTTCACCAAAACGATGAAGAAAAAGCAGAGCGAGTGAGCTCTGACATGATGCATTAAAAATGTTAGTGGAAAATGTTGGACAATGCTGGACATGAATACTAGAACAAATTAATTATAAAATGGATTTCAGCAATGTCTGACATCAACATGAGCAGGGTCATCCAAGCAGCTGTTGTAGCTCAAAATGAGATTTCAGTTAAAAGTTCAGGAACTAGCTACTGGTAGTACAGTGTGCAACTGTGCCACCAGTATTTCTGTAAGTACAATATTAACAGAATCTCTGCTACAAGCTCATGCCTTATAAATCAGATGTGTTACCCAAACAAAGAGCAGGTGTGCCGTTGACCTTTGGCTTCTGATCAGAACACAAATGTCATGATAAGCTTGTTTATTTTCAGCACACTGCTCCTTTTGATTGTGTCATAAAGTGCTGCATATATTATGAATTTACACTGTGTTAAAGTTGCTTTCACTAAATTTTCAATGCAGACTTTCAATTTGCAAAATGTTATCCTCATAGCTTCGGCCTCAAAACCTCACATAGCCCACAAAATAATACCTGATCAAACTTCAGTTTATCTGTGTCTCAACACTGTACATGAATGTTAAGATACCATTGAAACTTTGTTGTGAAAATTAATTTTGGATTTGTATACAAGGATGAGTAGATGGTACAGTATAATGAATTCTAACCTGGTTTTATTCCATTCTTCAGGATACCGCTGCTTCAGGATGGTCATGTTCTTCTCTGGCTTCATGTTTGGCACCACAGCTGTACTCCTGTTCTACCACATGGAGCCTGTGATGGACTCCCAGCTGCAGATGGAGACAAAGGCAGGGATCGGCTTGGGTGTGGGTGTGCTTTGCGGGCTGATAACCATGCTGGTGTCCACGATGGGACTTGTCCTCAGCGGCATGGAGCTGGGGAGCCTGCTCTCCCTTGCTATTCTGGTGGTCATTGGACAGTTTCACAGCCTTAGTCCTTCGTGGGTTCCTCTCACTGCCGTACTGGCGGCCGGTGTCATCACTGCTGTCTTCACACTTCAGTGGCAGAAACATTTCAGCATCATCTACACATCTGTTTTTGGAGCAACCACTGTGATGCTTTGTGTGGATTACCTTGTGGGGAACTTTATTCTACCAGATCAGGTGTATCATATGTTTTCTCAAGGTTCCCTATGTCCACTCTGCTGGTTCAACTGGGTGATCACTGGGATATGTCCTGTCTTGAGTCTCACAGGTGTGTTGGTGCAATGGAGGTTTACTGCCAAAGGAGTATCACACACACATGGTGAGTTTAACTCAGTCTGTACTTAGTGATGCCTTCAGGCTCAGACTGTTGTGTTAAACATGCTTTCCAGAGCTCAAAGCATCCCTCTGTGATATTATGTAATCATGATTTACTCTTTGTCCCCTTTGAATGCTTCCCAGCTGCAGACAAAAAACAGAAGAAACATGCCAAGAAACACAGATACAAACAGTCAAGGAGAAAACCTCAACCGCACCATCGGTGCAGGCCTCCACCACTAAAACGCTATGCTGGGGACGTCCTGGCACCGGTCAGTGGCTGAGATTAAACTGTATGATCCACCTTGAGCTTTTTATGTAGCTTTCATCTCTTCAGAGAAGCAAATGCTTTCAGTTTCCTTTGACTGCATAATGGTACAAAAGAAAAACAAAGCCTCATCATCAGTGATGGAAGATGTACTCAGAAACCTTAAGTAAAAGTAGCCACACCACAATATGAAAATCCTCTGTCAGTAAAGGTCAAAGCTTGGACTGTCAGAAAAATGTAATAAAGATATTAGTTAAAGTACTCACAATGCAGAACAATAATCCCTGTGTGTTGTATTTTACTTAACCAATTTTTTTGTGCTTATAAAATATCTGATAGTAGAGTAAAAGCACAAAGTTACGTCCCACCACTGCTCATCATGTTTCATTTTTTTGGGCACTATGTGAAATTACAATGCACTAACAATGTGTCTTCCTTCTGTTTGTCTGTCAGAGATATCTCCAGCGCCTTCAGGAGCGCCAGATGGGAACAGGTTCCTCCATCAGCACTGTCAGCACTATCACACACACTTTAATTGACTTTGACTTTGAGACGGGCTCCATGGTGCCTTTGACTACTGCCTCCCCTGTCTATACCGTCTGAAGGAGCACAGCGTTAAATAACTGTAAACTACACCTATTTGAGGAATCAATCCATTACCATATATTGTATCTGGAAATTAAGCATTCTTTTGAACTGTTCACTTCCAGGTAAATAATTCCACCATTTCCACTGTTGCCGTGATTCCACTTATCTGGTTTTGTTAATGATCAACATGCACACACTGTTAATCCGAGATGCTGAGAGATCATCCTCTGACTGAGGACAAGACAAAATAACACAGCTTCTACTCTTGTCAGACTGTTACTTTGCAGAGACTTTGTAATGTTTTATTTCACACAATCGCATGCTGACTTTTTATTCTCCGAATATTACTACACCTTCTTGGAAACTGTTCATATGACTTCCTACATACAGTATGTAGGCCTAAAATGTGTGTCTGGTTTAGTTTTGAAGCGAAAATGCTCAAGGGGGATTTGTTGGGTTTTCCCTATGTAATAATATTGATAACAGTAAGGTCTAGACCTTAGTTTGTAAAGTGTCCTGAGATGACTTTTGTTGTGATTTGGCGCTATACAAATAAAATTTGATTTGATTTGATAATTTCATACAAACATTTGTAATAAAACTTGTGGATAAACATCAGATAAACTGGGAGTGCTGCACAATAAACCATCAATCCATTATCTATACCACTTATCCTGAATAGGGTCATGGTCGGGTTGGAGCCAACCCCAGCTGCACGTTGGACAAGAGGCTGGGTCCACCCTGGACGGGTCGCCAGTCTATCACAGGGCTGACACATAGAGACAAACACACACACACACACACACAAAAACACACTCCTAGTGGCAATTTAGAGTCACCAGTCAACCTTAGCTGCATTTTTTTGGACCGTGGGGGGAAGGCGGAGTACCCAGAGAGAACCCACGCCCGCACAGGGGGGACATGCAGACTGCACAGAAAGGCCCTGGGTCGGCAAGGAACCTTCCTGCTGTGAGGCGACAGCACTAACCACTGCTCCACCATGCCAACTTGCAATTAAACTGGTGAAACAGACGTTACAGCAGCTTTACAGCTGAACAGCATGCTGTGGTTTGTGAAAACATTATGAAAATGTAGACAGCTCATAAAACCATTAAGCTGACTCAGTGATGTCAGTTTCACACCAATGTCTATCTTAAGTTTGCTACCATAGCTGCTATAAGACACTGGTCATACCAGAGTAAGTAACTAGGTTGCAGAAGCACAACCAAGTGTGTACAGAACTGATCAGTCATTTCATTTATTGTTTGTAAATTTTGATTTTTGTTTGTAATATGAAAAATGTTCTGGCACAGACCTGACAAAACTGACTCATACTGAAAGCATTCAATTGCCCAGTGTTGTCTTTCCGGACTTCATTGTTTTATTCTCTTTCATCTAGATGTAGGCCGATTGCTTAAATTACTGCACGTAAAGACTGGCCTTAGTTTCTTGAACTCTCTTGTGCATTTAAACTAACGAACTAGTCTTTATTGTGTGGATGTTGACTCATCCACATGTTATTGTGATAGGATAAACAGTTTTTGAATGAAGCGGAAAATTCCAGAGAAAGTGCCACCTCACTCTCCCAGACTCCCATTGTAAAACAGATTCAGAAAATCTCCTCAAAGCAAAAGTGAAGGCTATTTGTTCAGTTCCTTTGTTTTATGGAATATCTTCACATAATGGTGATCAATCTGTTTGTTGTGTTGCACCTCTGAATGTGACCTAGTCCAGAACGCCACCTTTAACCATGACTTCAGTAATGAAAATATCACTGAATTTATTGATTTGACAATTTCACCAAAAAAATGAAACACTGAGCTTCATAAACACAGATGTTAACACTTTGTTTACAAGATGAAATGCAATCTGATTAGGTGGAAGCTGGGTGGAGGCTGAGAAACTCATTTAAGTTTATTTACCTAAGACAAAAACTATTCTACATAAACCAATCGTATCTGGGTATTTCAAAATGATAGTATGTATGTCTTGTAAACAAATTTGTAAGAAAAAATTCTGATTCTGACATTTGTATTATCCAGAACAACTAAAAAATATATATAAACTTCTCAAAAAAAAAAGGGAACATTTAATAATCACCACCTTTATATGACAAAATAAACACTTTGAACTTAGCGAATCAGTGAGACATTTCTGCGTGTAACAGCAATAGTTTGACAAATAAACATATTGCTCTCCAGTTTGTGGTTCATTACGTGAGTTTACAAGTAACTAATTCATCAGCTGTTACCTTTTTGAAAAACTACTGAACGTGACATCTCTTCTTTTAAACATTTAACTGTATTGCTCCAACATCAGTTTTGCCTATACTTTTTCTGGTTGGTAGTTGTTGCATGTGTCAGATATCAGTTAAATTCACAATACATATATTGGTGAAGCTCCTTTCTTTGTGTCTACTGTGACATAAATCACAGTGTAATCTGTTATGGCAAAATGAACCTATATTCTGGCTATGATGCACATGTATATGCACTATATATACACATAGGAAAAAAAAAAAAAGCTTTTCCAGGCTTCTGGCACAAAGGACCTGGATAAATGCACCAGGTGAGCAACTTTAATTGCACAGAATCGGCACTGTGTTTAACTCCAGTATCTAGCTTTATGCATCTATAGTGCACACAATCTTTTTTTCTAATCTTGCATACCTAAAACTCATCTTTGTCCGGCTGCTCGTGTTATATTGGAAAATTCCCAAAAACAGCATCTGACAGATGGTACCTGAGGTGCGCTGGAAAAAAACAAAACCTCAAAAGTAAAATGAACAAAGTAGCCTACTATACTGTGACCACTATCATTTTTAGTCACACAAGACTTTGATTATATGGAGGCATTCAACAAAAACTGAAGACTTTATCTCCAAATTATTGTCTTTTTGCTGTTCTTTTGCCTGTTTAACATGTGATCAAAGATGACGTCATGCTCCTTTTTATTGTTTTAATCGTTTCCAGAGTTTACCTCAGTAACCAAAGCAGTGCAAGATGATTAAAATGCCTGACTGATACAATGACTGTATGTGACCCTGGTAAACAGGTGAGAGGCATGAGGAAGTCAGATGGTTAATGACTAAACTCCACCCCTGTAGGACACAAGACCAACTAACTGAGAGCCAAGTCCCTTCAATACTTCCCTTTGAGTGTATCTGGAGGTTCTACAGCAGCAAACCGGTCCCACATCATGAGGTCATCACATGGTTAGTGACCAAAACTCCTCCACCTGGATGATACGAGAAGCAAAGACAGATATAATGCAAGTTGCCATGATGACCATGTTGGACAGAGACAAAAAGCCACGTCTTGTTGGTCCTCACCTTATGAGCGTCCTGCTATGCAGCCACATCATGACCAGCACTGCTTGTTGTGTCTCATGTTACACACCTGTAGGAGGCACTGAAGGACTAAGCAAAGTTTAGTGCCCTACCTTTTTAAATCAGACGCTCATGGCTCATTTACCTTTATGAACAGATAAGAACATGCAAACGAGATGAAGGGACAAGTGTGCATGCACAGAAATTGAGACAGACAAATGTAGATGTGCAGACAAACAGAAAAAGAATTTGCTTTTGTAGATCAATGTTGAAATGATGACCCGATGCTTAACGCCACAAACCAATGGACCAGTGGCCATCTGGGACTAACGGATGGATTGACGGGCAGCGGCGAAATATCTTCACAAAAACGTAAATAAATCGTTGTGGCGCGGCAGCCAACCAGGTTAGAGAAGTAAAGAAAAACCACGTACCTGTCTTAGATCAATGTTGTCAAAATTCTTCAAATGGCTGGACGGAGAGCACGGGAGCCAGAGATAGCGATCAACCGCACAACAGATAAAACTCCTAAGACTTTCTCCTAAGTGTTATGTGCCTGGCAGCATAGATCTATGCCTATTACACAAATTTACCAGCCATGTTGGAAAAGAGTTGGGCATGGAGGGCCAGCAAAAACACCTGAACTAAACACTCTAGATGTCACAGTAAATTCAGGACTTGTGGCAAAGTGACCACAACAAGACCCCTTTAATGAATAAACTAGCGCCTCTGACAAGGAAACCCACAATAAAGTAAAAATGATTGACTTACAGTTCGTAGATCTACCTGAAAAGAGAAAGAAATACAATTAGTTTTATACAAATGATTCCAAATCTACAGGCCACATGTCAAATCAAAATTTATATAGCACTCAACCAAAGTACTTTACATGGGCAGAATAAAATCACAATATATAGCTAAAATAAAAAGGTTCAGTGCAAAAATAAAGCAGCACAGACACACAGATGACAAACATTCAATACATTAAATCAGGCCCTACTATGCATTAAAAGCCAAGGCACAAATATGTTTTAATGATTTAAAAGTAGCAGTTAAAAAGTAAATGGAGCAGGAAACAATTTCATTCTAACAGACAGAGATACACTTCCTCCTTAAGTGTTAAAAAATGAAAGACATTTATTTTGAAATGTTTTACTCTGTAGTGTCAGGATTCAGAGAATTATACCTCATAATTAAAAATACTTCTACTTCTTCTTTCTTGTTGCCCTATCAATATACCACAACATGGGGGACGGTGAACGACAAAGCACTTTAAAATTATACATTTTAAACTTTAGTACCCCGCCTTTCACCTGATGCTGGCTGGGATTGGCTCCATCCCGCAAATTATTAAAATTGAGCATGAAAGAACTTTAATTTTGTCATTGAACTGACAAAATAAACTCCTGCTTTCTACTCAGCCAGTTCACTTATGGCCCACAGTGTTCAGAACCAAAAACATTTTCTCCTTGTGAAATCCAACATTAGGCCTGTGAACCAACAGCAGCCTGTGTGTCCCTCTGACCATCTACTTGCTGAAACACTTGAACTTTCAGATAAATATAAAGACAGGACACCATTTACTACACAGATCTACTTTGGCATGAGCTGCTCATGGCGCAGTAAAGTCAAACACATTTTCCAACCAGTCTGTTACTTTATGAAGTTACCAACACACCTGACGTTAGCCCACAACAAAGCCTGGCAACATTAGCCAACTTCCAGACCCTCACTCACCTTTTTGGATTAGAGTCCTGGTGAATCCAGACCTGGTCCTCAGGTGTCTTATCGTTTTTCTGACATTACTTAACCAGATACTAATGTATAAAGCCTATAAACCATGACATTCGGTCATTGTGATTGTGCTTCTGATGTAGCATACCTGTAGCAGAAGGAGGAAACATTATGAGTCAAATGTTAATTAAAACAAATGGTTTTCCTTAAAAAAACGTTTTGGAATTTGCTGAACACTTCAAACCCTGTTTTCTTGCGTGCACAACGCGGATGTATTTGGCAATATCCTGGCACCAAACCAACACCGGAGAATCTAATGACTGATGCAGGAAACAGCTCAAAATTTAAACCACCTGCAGCCCCGCCCACTGCAGCACGGCCCTTGTTGATGATTGGTCCACGTGCTTCCTTTTCCGTCACCAATAATCATTTTACCGGTGCAGGTATACTGCTTATGTAACGACAAGGGGCGGGGGCTGCAGGTGAGGCGGCGACGTGACGCTGATCTCCATCAACTGATCATAGTGTTTCCAGAAAACAGGGGATTCTTTCATATTAAGTGACAGGATGCCTCTGCTTTTGAATACAAAGTGAACAGCCTGTACCACAGAGTGAATACTGCCCCAAAGAGCCCAGACACCGGGACACAACCTTAATATCAAGTGTGGTTTTATGGGTTTTATTTAATCCAGTCATGAATCTACACAGTCTAGATCAAGGAATGAATTTTCAGGCTCAGCGTGATTCAGATGTCCTCTCTGCTGAGTTTCTGGTTCATAATCTAAAGCTGTGGGCTGCTGGGAGGA